ATTCTTACTAAAAAAATAGTTAAAACATATTATTTACTATTAAGCTACTTTATATTTACCACACGTGTCTTACATAAACGCATCTCCAGCGGTTCTCGTCCTATATGGCTATATGTGGAGATCACTATGAATTAATGATCATTCAGTGGTATACTTTATTACTATACATGATATCAAAGAAACTACAGTGAATAGAGTATATTATACAGTATTACAGTATACCATCGTCAATTTCGAGTACATAATCATATTAGAAACAATAATACATAGTAGATGCAGCAAATTCGACTTACAACGTTCTGTGTGCAGTAGATAATTGAGTAATATACCGCGCGTCGGACTTTCGCTTGTTTAAACCTATTTCGATTAAATCATTGTAACTCCGTATATGTACGATTATTTTGGAAATTTTACTGATAATGACTATGATTCGCAACGTTTGGTTCAAATGCCATTCACTATTATACGCGTTTGTCACCAAATTGTAATTATTTACGACAATATTATCAACAGGCATAGCAGAGGAGTTAAGTTCACAAAAAAAAAATATGTGTATACCGTATACCTAATATACTCATACAATATACTCGTATAATTACATTTTTAATCGAGATTGGGTAAATATCTAACTTTTGTTAAAAAATGTAATCAATAAGAAATATATATAAACCAGAGTTGTTTATGAAAATAACTCTTATAATACGATCGTACCTAAAAATTTGAACCATATTCAACCCACAGTACCTTATATAAACAAGTCTTAAATAACATATTAGACATTTTACACTACAATGTGTGCATGGAAAATATAACGTAGTTAGACCTTCATATGGCACGTATTTCGTGCACATTATTTAAGTTTTCACTAGTGTTATCTAAGCATTATTCATCTCGTTAATAAACTAAAAAATGAAAAATTCAATCGCTTCTACATTATTACATAAGACTCAGCTAAATCTATTTTATGCATATCTGTTAAAAATACCAATTTTGTAATCATTGACAATTGTATCGACACCTAGGTACTTAAAAATGCTTATTGATTTTTAGTATCAGTTTTTCGTGAAATAATTTATTTACTGTGAAAAATAATCCACCATATATATTTTAGTTAAGAAAATGTTATATAGCAGCTATATCAAGCTGTTTATTGAAAACCGATTTCATGTACGCCGGATTATTTTAATTCTTTTTAATTTTAACTTTAAAATAGCAGTTCAATTATTTATAACATTTCAGAGGCCCTTTTAAATTACGTACGTGTATTATTATTAAATACATAAAAAAAATATCTGATCAAAAAACAGATAAAATATTATCCCTGTTATATTTAATATTTAAATTCTTATTTCAAATAACTTTATATTATGAATACAAAAACATATTAAAAATTTACTTTGGTAATAAAAATAAAAATGATGGTAGCTTAAYGAAAAGATTTAGAAAATGTGAACCAAAAAAACAATTCAATAAACATAATTTTTGTCAGAAAATCTAGAWACCCATATCGTATACAAGATGTCTGTCAAAAAAAAAATAGTTAATAAATAAATAGAAAGACCCTCGTGACATGAGAAATATACTGGTGAACACCACCGTTGTCCATGTCGAAATTAAAAACACGTCACGATCAACAAACTGTATGTTCAGGACGTGATGGTTGATAATTATTTGGTCGTGAACCGGAGGTCCTGAGTAAATGTAATTTTTTTCGACCACTCAGAACATAATTCATTTCCTACATAATATATGATTGGTATTTTCCCTACCTTTATTTAATATGACATAAATTTATTTTCTAATTATATATTTGATATGAATATTGAGGAAGCCAAAAATAGTAGGAATACAGTTAAAAATAATTGAAATTGTGATTTTCTTTTTGTGTATATTTATAGYGTAATAATAATAATTGAAGTATTATTCTGACACTTTTTTCTTCACTTCAGTTTGTAAACATAATTATGATTATAAAATAATTTATTTAAAATTATCAGCAAAACGATAATATTATTGGTTGTAAATTTACTTTATTTTTCTTCTATTATTCAGTTTGTGTATATTAATTTTAAGTATAATTTCAAAATCATTTTTAAATCCAATTATTTTCCAGTTTTTTTTAAACCAAAATTCATAAACTCATAATACAATTTCGATTAGTGGTTGATCGGTAACGAGCACAGTACCGATATTCTGTAGTATGTCCATAGTTATTATTTTTAGTTAAAAGTGGAAAGAACAATATTATTAGTTTATTACCACTAAATAAATCAATAATTCAATTAAGTATTTGTAAATCAAACAAATATTTTTTTTTTAATAGTAGAACAATGATAGTCAATAAAATAAATTAATAACTAACTTTGATACACGTTCATAAAAATTGAAAACAAATTAATATTAAAGGTTTTGATAGTTTTATAAATAAAAAAGAAATTATCTGTCATTCAATTGTTCAGTATGTCATATTTTAATATGAAAATAATTATTTCTTATGATTTTGTTCATATAAAATATACTATGTATATATATACACTTTACCTAGCTCTAAAGTAATCATCTGTTTGTATACAATTTGACGTTAAGCAATATTATGTTAAAACATAAACTATCTAAATGCTTCATCAATATTTTACAAACAAAGTATGGCATTATTATTACATACAAAAATGTTGGTCATTATAAGTATATGTTTTAATAATAGTATTCACAATATTTTACATCCTATCTTGGATACTTAGATCCAAGGATCCTCATTTTCCATTATTTTATCTCCACGGGTTGAAGAGGAAGATGAGTAGTTTTTTTTTCATAAAACCTTTCAGTGAACAATGAAAACCCCTTTAACAAAAGCTGTTTCCCGTCAATGATATCATTCTCATGAGATTTTTTTTTTTGTTTTAAACGCGTTTTTATTTTTCACGCCTGAAACCATTAGTGAATCTATATTCTTTTCCCGAGGCTGGGTTTTAAAGGTTCGTCTTTTTAAATTTTAGATCATTTGTCTTATGAAATTACTTAAACATAAACAATTAGAGTATAATATAATATGTGATAAATTTGATAAGTTAACGTCAATTTTATATTTAATTTTTTATCTGGTTGTTAACTAAAATAAAAAAATAAAATATTGTGGTGTTATAACTATAACATGACAATAATATATAATTATGAATTTTGGATTACCAATCTAAGATATGATCTTTTAAAAGTTATTTCATATAAGTACAAAATGCATTACTTCGTTTGATACAATTTTTAAATATAAATATAAATATTAATTATTATTATATTCGTATTTTGTATCATATATTATTAAGTATAAACCTTAACCTTTGATTTATTTAAAATATTAAATCCGAAATTCGATAAAAACCCATATCTATATTAAGTTAGGATGACCTCATCCTTTCGATAGTAGAAGGTATACAAATTAAGTATTTTTAATTACCTAATTTATATTAATTTTTGAACTATTTTTTTAAAAAATTTAAAGGAAAATAATTCCTAATAGTAATACAAAAAATATATACATAAACTTTGAGTGCTGGTTTCATTTACGTATAATATTAAAATTGAATTACTCAATCGCATAAACGAATTTTAATTATAGTAAATTAATTAAAATAAAATGTAGTGCAAATAATTTCGTTACAAACAATCAAATTAAAAGGAAAATAAACTTTTATTACCACTTAACACTTAACAGCAGTAGGTAATAATATTTAATATTTCTTACCTCATACTTTAATTTCATAACAAAACAATTGTTTAAAAACGGGAATTTAACTTTCGTTAAATGTTAATAGTTTAACATTAAAAACAATTATATGGTTTCCAACAATATTCATATTAAGTATATATTTAATATTACATCCAATATATTGTGGTATTTAAAATTAAATTAAATTAAGTTAAATCCAAATGAAAAGATACCATTTTAAAATTTATGATTAGGGACATTTATAAATATTTAATTTTAAATGTGTCACTAAAAACAGATTGATAGCTTCTTAAAACTCTAGTAATGTAAAATATTTCTATATTGCAAGTATATATAGCTATTTAGCGAAATAATATTCTATTTTTTGGAACATAACTTGATAATTAACAAAATTAAATAAGATTTATTGATCTCTAGTAATAGTAATAGTATTTATTTAATTAGCATACATACTGATAGTGCGTAAATAGTGTAATATTAAAAATAAACTTATGGTTAATATGTTCAGCAATATATTATTTAATAAGCTACTACAAAGTCAAGCAAATCACTGATTTGACTTCATATTAAAAGTAAAAATCAAAATAATACATTTTAAATGTATATTATTGATTTTAACTTTTATATTTTATAGCAGTCATATTTTGTAGTCGAAACACAAACTTTGATTTTCAACGGTAGTTTCTTCAGTCGGTATTGATCCAACATTTGGCTGTCCCGTGGGCCGGGTGAATATTATAAGGCGTAGTACACAACTGTGATTTCTAAATTCTATTATACACAATAACAGCCATAACACTTCAATCAAATTAATTGGACTTTTCATAATTGTTAAATTTTACGAAGTCATTAAAATTTAACAATTATAAATACGTTGGTATTATCAAAACTAGTTGAATTTGTTTTCAATTATTATATTAAATCGTAAATTATTATACTTATTTCAAAGAACTCAATAAAATATAGGTACTTACGTTTATTACAACTTATTAATATTTCAACAGACGTTTAAGCGTTTATCTATCAAGGCGCCAAACTAAATTCACAGTGRCGCAACATCACAAATCATAAACAATTTTAATTTCCTCTAAGAACGATGATAAAAATATAAAACTATAAATAACTCAAAATTATCATCGAATCACCTTTAGTAAACATTTTATAGATTTAATAATCTTAAAAGAATTGAAAAAATGAATAATCACAAATTACTTCAAACCGGCTATACATGCAATATATAGTTCTCAATTCTTCATCGCTATTATAGTTTTTGTTTTTATTTTTATTTTTACTCGGAGGAGCTCATCTTTAATCATTTGGGTCATGAAATGATCAAAAGGTTTTTTACTCTGATAAGCGCTGATAACTTGTTCACCTTTTGTAAAAAGCTTTTCTTTTAATTTTTTTCGAATAATATTTGGATCATAAAATATTACTCCTTGTCTTTTAGTTTTTGCTACTGCTACATAATATTATATATATTCTCTTTTTAAATATTTACAGTATTTTCTGCATGACAACAACTATAAAAATTGTAGAAAAAATTACATCAATTATGATAAATGACCAATATTTTATAAGGCAAAACAATAATAATATAATCTACTATTTAATAAAACTATATACCTATAATAAAATAAGGAAAATAATAATTTTTTACTAACAATTTATTTTAACTTACCGCTTATATAGCTACCGGGTCGACGTTCAACGATGCTGTACACATCACGGCCATCGTGGGCGAATCAGTCGTGTTCAACTGCCAAGTGGAGTTCCCAGCCGAACACCCTGTGCCTTACGTTTTACAGTGGGAGAAAAAAGTAAGCGAATATGTGTCATACAGTACAGAATTTATTTTGTAGAAAATATAATAGATACATTTAAAAATATATATTATTTATCTTCAATCGCATAACGTAATAGGCAGATGAATACTAATTATATTATACTATATTTATATTATATTTATATTTATATTATATTATACCTATTTTATTATGGATCGCCAGTTGGTTTGACTATAAGATAATATGAAGCATAAATGAGCACGTGATAAAAATATAACACACGTGGTCATATGTTTCAGGGTCTTGACATACCTATATTCATTTGGTATGACAACTATCCCACTCACAGCGGTTCGGGATATGAAGGCCGAGTGGCTAGAGTCTCTCAGGACTCTCCATACGGTCTCGCTTCGCTCAACTTGACCAATATACAAGAGTCGGACCAAGGTTGGTACGCCTGCAAAGTTGTGTTTCTCAACCGGTCACCAACCAATAAAAACGGCACGTGGTTTCATCTAGACGTCCACGGTTAGTAACTGCAGTCCATCATTTTAATTGATCATTCATATTAATTCTTGTCCTCACAATTAATAAGTCATTTCATATAGTATAAAAATAGTAATGATGGATTAATTAATCAAGAATTGTTTGCATTTTACTCTACTTAGCTCCTCCGAAATTTGTCACCATCCCCGGTGAAGTACAATACATAAATGTCGGAGATTCTATTATTCTAAACTGTCAGGCTGTGGGGACACCTACGCCCGAAATCGTGTGGTTCAAAGACGCCACAGACGTGCAGCCGACGACCACTGTGGGCATATTCAATGATGGCACTGAACTGAGGATATCTAACATCCGAACTGAGGACATCGGGGATTACACATGCATCGCCAGAAATGGCGAAGGACAAATAAGCCATACGGCTAGGGTTTTAATAGCAGGGGGAGCTGTAATCATGTCGCCTCCGACTAACCAGACAAAACTGGAAGGCGAGAAAGTCGAATTCACATGTGGTGCCAAGGCCATGCCAGGTAATGTCACTGTCCGATGGTCTCGTGACGGAGCTTTTGTGAAGTCGATTTCATCGCTGGAAACCAGAGTAACCATCAAAAAAGATGGTTCTATGGTTATAAACCCCGTCAGCGCTGATGACTCGGGCCAATATCTCTGTGAAGTCAGCAACGGCATTGGTGATCCACAATCCGCGTCTGCCTATTTGAACGTTGAATGTGAGTACAAACCGAATCGCAACTCAACAAAATATTGACTATTAATATGTTTATATTCAGATCCAGCCAAAGTTACATTCACGCCGACCGTACAGTATTTACCGTTCAGATTAGCTGGTGTTGTTCAATGTTACATTAAAGCCAACCCCCCTTTACAATACGTCACATGGACTAAAGACAAACGTTTGCTTGAGCCTTATCAACAAAAAGACATCGTTATTATGAACAACGGTTCTCTGTTATTTACCAGGGTAAATAATTTCAAAAACATAAAATTCGTGCCAAAAGCGTGCTAACTGAGTGCGTATTTTTGTTTTAAATTGTTTAGGTCAATCAAAACCACCAGGGCAGATACACTTGTACACCCTACAATGCACAGGGTACTCAAGGATCATCCGGGCAAATGGAAGTGTTGGTGAGAAAACCTCCAACATTTACAGTTGAACCAGAGAACATGTACCAGCGCAAAATCAGCGAATCGGTAGAGATGCATTGCGACGCACAAGAAGCTGAAGGCACGCAAAAGCCCAAGATTCAATGGCAAAGAGTAAGTTATTTAAAAATTATATTCAGATAATTGAACTAAGCAATATTATTTCGTGATTGATAAAACAGAGAGATGGGGCTCCGTTGCCTAAAGGTCGTCATAGCATACACGGTGGCAATATCACAATAGAAAACCTCAGAAAAACCGATTTCGGATATTATCACTGTGTTGCGAGTAACGAAGTGGCCACAATAGTTACAACCACTCATTTGGTCGTCGAAGGCACTCAACCGCATGCCCCTTATAACGTCTCAGCAAACGCTTCCGAGACGACCGTTACACTGCAGTGGCTACCAGGTTATAGCGGCGGTCCCGATTACAAACAGGACTATACGATTTGGTAAAATTCAACACGCTGCAGTTCGTCAAAAATAACCCAACTATAACAGATTTTAATAATTTTTCAATTAGGTACAAAGAACCAGGGATGGCCGACTGGTCTACAATACCTGTTACTCCATCGGGGAGCACCCAAGTCACTATAAACAGACTAACTCCGGACACGACATATGAGTTTCAAGTGGTAGGAAAGAACGCGTTGGGCGATGGAATGCTTAGCAAAGTTATTTCGATCAAGACACTGGGTGAGTAAATAAAATGTGAATCAGAACGTAGTTATAATAGGTAATACAGTATTTTTCTGTTCTTTTTTTTTTAATGAAAAAAAAATGATACTTGTGTTTTTTTTAAATAAAACGACTGACGGGGGTTGGCTACACAGTGTCAGTTGTATAAACAGGGCGCACTGTACATTTAGTCGCTTTAGACGCTTTTTGGAATATGGAAAATTAAATGTAATTTTATAATAAATATTTATTAATAATATATGAATGTGGCCATTAACGTCACACTCGATATAAACTAGGTATTTTTAATAATTTAAACACGACTGCGGTAGATCAAGGTCAGCTTCTTCTGCTAAAGTTATGCGTTGCTTCCTCTTTCGAGGATCAACGTGGCCTTGAACTTCCGTAGGATTTATGATTTAAACTACTTGTGCACCCAATTTGAAATGACTTACATTTTATTGTAGATATAACGTGTATTTTGTATAATATAATGATATATGTCGGACGCTTACAAATCAAATTCAAAATTTAACACCTGTGTAAAGTGACCACTAAATCGAACCTAAAACTATTTTAATATCAATATTAACTGCATACTTACCTCGTTTTGTGATTAATAATTTTACTTACTTCGTTGCTCAACCAGTCGCTATGTGCGCGACAGTGTCGAAGCTTTCCGTTTCTTATTGTAAGCGTCCGCGACATTTTGTTCTATAATTGCTCTTGTTGTATACCATAAGTTTGGTTTGTTGTGCTTATTCTATTCTCTGTTGGGTGGCAGCAGCCGTACCATTAACCGTGGCCAAAAAAACAAGTCCCGCGCCACCGGTCACCGAGTTAACTCCTCCCCCAAGCGACGGTAAGCACAAACAATATAATGTACATATTTTTCATTTAGTGTAATATACAAATAATATAATATATAAATATATATTTATAGATAATGCATGACAACTATTTACTTACTATTGTGATATTTTCGTACTGTACATAGCACATTTATTTACCGCATGATAGCGTTGGTGTCACAACTATACGTTTCGTTAAGATATTTTAATAACATTTTTTTTTTTTTTATCATCTTTAGAAAGTCCTTTATCGACATATTATTTATTTCAGGATTAATTATGATTTTGCCCATACAATTATAATTTCATTTTGTTTTGTTTTGTTTTGCATGTTTTTATTTTTATTTTATTTTATTCCACGTTTTGCAGACGTTGTCGACTATAGCGACCTCATTTTACCCACTGAATCTTCTGGTGCTACATTATACCCACCGGTATTCAGACCAAAAGGTATAAAAAAATCATCAGCTTAATTATTATTAATGTTTCTCTCCTTGCTCATCATCCATGTAACTTAGTTTTTATCATCGACTATTGATTTTATTGAGCAAAGAGCACATGCTTTAGTGTGACTGCGTCATTTGCCAGTTGTTTTCGTGTGTTGAATTATAATAATAATAATTATTATTATTATTCTTACTCAATTTTGCTTTTATAGGACCAAAACCTGGACCACCGAGAAATGTATCTATCGCCGAAGTCTACAATGGCTTCGTCATATCTTGGCAAGCTCCATTAGAAAGAGCTCATCTAGTCCGCTACTACGTCATCAACTATAAAACAGATGGGATTTGGAGAACTTTGAATAAAGCTCAAATTAGAGCAGAGGATACTCGTTATCTGGGTACACATATATTATAAATAATAGACACGTTTTAATAAGCATATAAATCATCATCATCATTTGGCTTCATGTAAGAATTTTCGCCACTACTGTCAATACTCTCTTTACCAATMCTTCCCAGTCTAAAATTTCAAATTTCTCTAAGTTTTGTCGTATGTCATCTATCCGTCTTTTATATGAAAAAAAATTCAATATTTAAATTTGGAATGCAACACAATATGATCGGAGTACCGGATAATTATTATGAATGGTATCGAAACGCGATCGCTGAGTTTCAGGGGGATAAAAAATATCAAAAATCTATAGATTACCGTTTTATAATTTTTATGAGCGATTATCAAACATTCCTTGTTTGGTTTTTTACACATTCGGGTTTTTATTAATTAATAATAAAATGGTCTTTATCCTTATAAACCGTTTATATTAAGCACACTAATATAAAAACAGAATCAAACGCAATACATACGCTATCTATACAGTAATATTAATTATTTTTATGACGTTTATGTTATGAATTACTCGTTCATTAGAATTTCTTTCAAAATGTGTTAAAAAAATAATATGAAAATGCCAATTTCTCCGAGGAATTTTGATAGCGAAAACAATTGAATTTTTTTTCTTTTTTTTAGTAAAAAGTCTAGTGGGAGGTCGTACCTATTATTTCCGAGTGGTCGCGTACTCTTTAAAAAGTTTCGAAAACAGCGAAGAAATCAAATTCCCCGTACCGGCCAGAGTGAAACACAAGGCCATCACTGCGGGTGTCGTTGGTGGGTTATTGTTCTTCATCGTCGCTATAATATTGTCCGTGTGCGCGGTAAAGATTTGCAACAAGAGAAAACGAAGAAAACACGAAAAAGGTAAGCTTAAAACAAAAGCAAATTGCATTTTGAAAAAAATAAAATAAACGATATTCGCGCGGATCACGCCTATCCGTTTCGAACGTCATCGACACACAAATATTTTGTTACCGACATGAACGTGGTGTTTTGTGTGATTTCAGCTTATAACATGGTCGCGTGTAGAATTACGGACGCCAGAAATGGCGGCCAAATACCGGGGACTAGTCAAGTGCCTTTAAAAAAGTGAGTTCCGTCGTATATACCAACTATATTATCTACATTAATATGTGATTTATACCTAAATAATTGTCTAGAAAAATGTTATAATTTGGGGCGTGTTTACTGGAATAAATTATAAGGAATTATGATAGGCATTTGATAATTATGATACCTATACGGATACTATTTTTTGTCTATATATAGGCTCGCGGACACTCGTACTTACCGAGACTATAGACTCGAATTGTCCTAGCCGATATCGAAATCCGTAAGCCAAGCATTTATTATATGTATAATATAATAATTATTAATTATATATATTATATATATATTTCAAACAAAAATAGTACCTACTTATTTATGGCTACAGGCTACAATGCGCTTCACTCGCAACCGCTTATTTCGTTTGCGATTTTCGACAAATCACGATATTATAACATTATAATAATGGTAATGAATAATGATAATTATAATAATCATAATGCACCGAACGTGTCACCACTCACCATATGCGGGACGTGTGTGGCATATATTATAATAATTATTCTTATTACGTACTTATAATTAATATTAAAAAAAATCAATTTAATATTGAATTGAATCCCATTAATACTCTTGGATTGTCGGAATAAATTGAGTCCATAAATGTTTTGAAATCGAAACTGATATTCATTAATATTATGAAAATTGTTTTTCACTCAACATGCATTCATGATTTCACACTATTAATCAATTTTGAGTTCACCAAGTATTTAGCACTATGAACATTTTTAACAAAATATACACCGTTGAGTAATATAACACTTATTGTCGAGCATTGCACGCCGACGCCGTGCGAGGTTCCAGCGACTCAATCCGTATAATATATTAAAATTTTAAAATGGACTCAATTCCAACAGGTAGTCTGGACTAAATTTAATGCCATCCAATACGACAACGAGCTATAATAACCGATTATCGTCTAAAATACGATTCGTGGGGTGGGGGAAAGAATTATAATATCGTATAACATAAGACATCACCTTACCTCATATACCACATTTAAAAATGGCTTAAAATTAATTTGATATTTCCTTCAGGTCGGGACATTTAACGCTATTATAATATAATATCTATATATATATATATATATAATTGGATGTGTATAATATTATATTATATTGCACGCGTCTCGACATAACACGAAAACAAATTACACGGTTTTATTCAGACTAAAAACGGGAAGAGCTTGCAAATAACGATTACACGCGCAAATAATCACAACACGAATTACGAAATAATGAATAATTTTTTTTTCAAATCACACTTGTCTTGATAATAATATAATATTATCATGTTAACAATATTAACACATGGGATATATTTATTTATTTATTTATATTTTGTTTATGTGCTTTCGTTCAGGATAACAGGTGAAGAGCTAGCAAGCTGTTGAGCCGCACAAATTCAAAATAATATTGGTACATCACAGTATGCGTGTGTTTGTTTGCTTGCACTTTATTAATCAATAGCATCATTATTCTTTTGTATTATTATTTGGTTTTTTTTTTTAAGTTTTAGATTATTCGTACTGTTTTAGATTGTATAAATATGTAGTGCTCATACTGCAAGTACATAGCTGTTTTATATTATTCAGAATAATATAGATATAGATGTAGATAAACATTGAACCTATATACATTTTCGATCAAAATAAATATTATGTTTTGCGCCCTAACTCTTCCTATAGACCATAATGCCTTAGGTGTTTTAAATTTTTTTCTGTGTACCTACGCCCCGACAACCAGAACCTGTAAACATTTTAAGCAATCATTTAACACTAAAAACTGATATTCAAATACAATTTGTATCGTTGTATAATACCGTCTCTTATTATACACACACGAATCAGTTTAGAGTTTACGTTTGTAATATTGTCCATCGATTAATTTACAGTTATCAGCCCTTTAAACTAATTAAATAATACATAAGAAGATACATAGATACCGACGTATCTTACAATATATATATATATGTGTGTGTGTGTCATATAATAAGATTTCAATTAGTATTTTATGTGAGGGTATGACACGTATTTGACCTAACCTAACCTTATTAGGTACTAAAATTCATTAACTGAAACGTGCCTGTGAAGTTGTAACAGATATCATTTAAATATATTATCCAACAATTTTGATGGTGTATTTTTTGACTTTGATGGAAAAAACAATTTTGATTTGAAAGAAAATTTAAAAAAATGTTCATTAAAAAAAAA